TTAGCCAAATATAGGTAGCTACTACTGCATGACATTTGGACCTAGTTCTTCAAGCATACCCATGAGATGCAGTGTTGAGCATTGCAACATCTAACTTTTAGGTCCCTGGCCACCAAAGTGGAATTCAGAACCCCGTGTTAGGCACTTAGGCACTGTATAAAGTGTAGGGAAAGACAGGCAACACACAATAAGATCCACAAAAACCAGTACACAGAGTTGGGAACTACCCCAAATTAGCCAATAGGAAATAATGAGGACAGCCAGCCAGAGTTTATTAGTGTGCAAGTAACACCCTAGGTAAGCTATTTCCAGTTCGGGAAGTAATGTGCGTCACCATGGCACTGTTTGGTAACAAAATTGAGTGGTATAGACCTACCCTATGAACTGAGCCAAGATGACTGCGATGGGGATGTGGCCACACCCCCTTCATATGTGTGGTGCACGCACAGTGAAGAAAGCTCACTGCCCACGTGCCACAGAGTCCAAGGGGGTGTGGCTGCACCCTCTCACTTTCATCCTGGATGCTAGTGAGCTCTCCTAGCTGGGAGCTCCTGCTGGGAGTTCTGCCTCTGCTAGGAGTTTCATGAGCTCACCCACTGGTCAGTGCAAGAACTGCATGAAGTCCATGCTTCAAGCAGCTCTGGAACCTGCTGCTCTTTGCACTTCCCATCCCTCCTCCCCACCTCATCCTCTGAATTCAGCAGCGGAGAGGAGGAGAGGAATACCTGGCACCACTACTCATGCAGCTCTGCAGATGGATCCCAGGGGCTGTGCTGCTTCTTCTGCTGCCTCCTCCACTCTGTCCCTTCTCCTCTCCCCTGGTACTGAATTAAATGTGGGGTGGGGAGAAGACAGGGGAAGAATCAAACAATAGCAGGCTGTGGAGTTGCTTGAAAGCAGGGACTCCAGACAGCCCCATGCCAACCAGCCAGCCAGTGAGCTCAGAGCTCCCAGAACATGCAGAGCTCCTAGCAAGAGCTTCACTGATACTCCAGAATATCAGAGTGCATCCCACATACAGCCAAAGGGGTGCAACCATTCCACTACAACCCTTATGGATCTACCCCTGTCTATGTATCTGGACAACTTGGATGTAAAAGCCTTAAATGACTATTGAGTTTAGGGACCTCCAGAGTTAGGTGACAGCTGAGTGGGGGTTTCAGTGTAGCAATTTTAGGTTCAGGTGCTCAAATTCTGCCTAACTCCTAATCTCAGTGCTTAAGTCCTTGTTTGGATCTGGCCCTTTTTGAAAATATTGCCAGTCTTTTGTCACTGAGGGCCAGAGATTGTGACCTGGCTGTGGCTGTGGGCTGGGATTCTCTGCCCACCCCCCTCCCAGCAGCTAGCTGACTGCATTCATTTTCACTGCAGATTCACAACCCCTCTGCAGACATGGAGGGCAGCAAGATCAGCAGTAGAGAGCACTACAGAGCAGATGGGCAGCAAATTGCAGCTCCATGCCACCAATCCCCATGTCAGACTGGAACTCCTGCTGATCAAGAGGATAAAACCTGGTACTGAAAAAAGATACTGCCTTCCTGGAATTTAAAATAGTCATTTTTTTTTAATCAAATGAGAATATCAAAATCCTTTAGATTGAGGGCACCAAAAAAAGTGGGAAATAAAGAAGAAAGAATGGCTACTAACAATACCATATAGAATTTTTCACTTGTGTATTTAAGTTTTCTAGGGTCTAAAACATGGGGTAGATCATCTTCCCTTTCAGAATGAGAAAATATCAGGAATAGAACTCGTCCTTAGAAACTCATCTATATTATTTATTTCTATAAGTAAATACACTTTCCTCTTTAAAATTATGTTGCAAGAAGAATCTTTGAAAAATTAAGGGAGAAAGGAAGTAAAGGTGGGCACAGATATTTCTGGAAGGATACAGACTCCAATAATAGAAACGGGGCAGAGAAAGGTCTATTTCTTGTTGATTATGTCTTTCCAGGCCATGGAAGAAGCAGACAAAGCAGAGTGTCTATCTTCAAAAGATAATGACAATGTTTCTTCAGACATATTTAAATCTCACCAAGATACTTTCATCAAATTTGTTACTAGAATTACAGAGAAACACCTAGGAATATAAATGTTGCAAAATCTCTGAAATTAGGAATTAAACAGTTCTTTAGATGTTTATTTTGAGTATTACAAAAGGCTGGGGTTTGTGGGTTTTAACATCTCTGAAGCTGGAACTAGCTCAAAGGTAATAGCCTTACATCAGTCGGCAACATAAAACCTAAAGATAGCGGACCATTTCTCTTTAAGTTTGTTTAGTGAGTCATGTCTGAAGCCAAAAAATAAATTCAAATACCTTGAAAGGCAAGTCAATTCTGGAGAGCATTTCACTTGAATCTGGATTACTGGAATCACATATAATTCCTAGAGATACTACAGATGGCATGGCCAACATGCTATAGTAATCTAGCTAGGAGCAATCCAGGAATAAACTTTCTCAGTAGGTGTGCCTACATGAGTTGCTTTACTGTGCATTAGGCTAATCTAATGTGCAATAAAGTGTCAACATCTACATGTGCATGGGACATACTGCTCAGTAAATTAGGCTAAAGCGCTGTTTGCTAGTACCAACAGGTAATAGATTAATGGCACATTACCTACTGAACAGTAGTATATGTGTAGACACTGACTGGGAGCAACTTGTTCCTGGTCATCCTAGGCAGCAGGGGCCACATGGGGTGGGG